TAGATGATTTGAAAATATGTTTGGCTTCATCTACTGTGTGTTTATTAGTCAAGTAGTCGTGCAATGAACCATTTAGCGAATATAGCCAAGTCATGTAGTTGCCAATTCGCAGTGCAGATTTTATAAGTTTCTAGTTTAGATAATTTCTATTTTGTTAAGCGGTCTCTGTATCCATTTATCATTGTTTACCACGTCACATTAAATTTTAAGTAGCTGTGCCATTGTTGGAAGGGTTTCGCACCAATACTCTAGCCTTATAATAATACTATGCTTCAGTTCCTTGATGGCAACAGTAACACTAGAAAGACTGTATGCTAATGCTTGGAAAAATTGAAATTTGATGAACTAGTGTGTTTAATAACTCTGGCAGTGTAGTCATATATTTCTGATTCATCAAAATAGTTTTAGTAGTAAATATCGTAAAAGTTGTGATGTGCATGATTTGATTTGTGAAACGTTCTTTTGTGATGAAAGAACAGAAGCCCACCAAGGTGCTTTTTATGCCCCGCATAATCTCATGGTTAATATTTTTCTTTTATGATGGTAATAATCCAAGAGGATTGTCTATAGATATTACTGTGTTTGATGCATCTCTAATTCTTTGAGCTGAGGTTGATTGAAATTCTTAAAACTTGATCTTCCTTTTGCTTTATGATTTTGGCTCCTCTTCAGTGAATTAGTCATATCCTACTCCCGTCACCTGGAAAAGAAACATGATATGCTTCTGGGGATGATGTTTGACCGAGGAACCTACAAGAAACTCTACAGCTACCGTCATCTAATCAACGGCTTTGCAGTTCACATTTCACCTGAGCAGGTGATGTTCTATGTTATTTATTTTCTTCAAGTTGCTTGATGTTCAATATTCTTCTGCATACATTCCTTACACCATCAGCGTATTAGTAGGCAGAAACACTTAGAGGAGCACCTGGTGTGAAGTCTGTGGAAAAAGATTGGAAGGTTAGGAGACTTACGACCCATACTCCACAGTTTTTGGGGCTTCCAACTGGAGTATGGCCAACAGGAGGTGGATTTGACCGGGCTGGAGAGGATATTGTCATAGCCTTCGTGGATTCAGGAATTTATCCTCATCACCCAAGCTTTTCAACACATAATACTGAACCGTATGGACCTGTTCTGAGGTATAGAGGTAAATGTGAGGTTGATCCAGACACCAAGAGAGACTTTTGTAATGGAAAGATTGTTGGAGCTCAACACTTTGCCGAAGCTGCTAAAATGGCTGGTGCATTTAATCCAGGAATTGATTTTGATTCTCCTCTTGACGGAGATGGACATGGAAGGTTTGAGTTACTATGCTTTGATAATTCAATTAGTTCAAAGCTGGGTTCTCTCCTTACATTCTAATATTTATTGAAATTATTAAAAGTATATATTGTGATTTTGTAAAGATGGGCAGGTGACTAAAAAGGATACCTATAATGCAAAACTGTAACTAGTAAATTGCTTGAGCAGTAGTAAATTAATTTTCCTAGGAACTGTTTCCTGCATGAGTGTGCTTGTCACGCGCTGGAGACATTTCTAAGCATCCAAGATATTAATAAATGGGTAAAAAAAATTCATTTTGGACACATTGAAGACTTAAGTCATGTCAATAGACTTACAAGTAGTAAATGAGAAGCTGTAATGTGGGCTTCAAGTACAAATGAGAAAGCATGCCTACAGTAAGCAATATGTATGATGAACCAATCTATATTGGGCCACTGTTGTTTCCTTGAATTCCAATAAAGCACTTACATTCTTTCGTCAAATTCTTTTTGAAACCAACAGCCATCAATCTACCGCTACTTTTCTATTAAGTTTTCTCTTAATTCACATGGATGTAATATCCCCTTTTATTTCATAAAATGCATAATGCATTGTAAGCACTAAATTAGAGGGGACCAAAAAGTCTCATGAAATCTTTAAAAGTGATGGTTTTGCTCTCTCCAAGATTGTACTTTTGTCAATGTAATTGTTGTGATGTTGTGGAGCTTACTTCAAGAATACTTTCTTACCAGTCATACAGCCGCTATTGCAGCTGGGAATAATGGAGTTCTTGTGAGGATGCATGGATTTGAATATGGACGAGCAAGTGGAATGGCACCCCGTGCTAGGTAT